AGAGAGAGTATAGTGAATGGTTGGATGATGACCAAACCCCACTTGTAGAACGAGAGAAGTAAAGGAACTTAAAAACCGGTGGCCATTCTAAAGAAAGAGTATAAAAGAGTGAACTTTTCAAAATTTTGAGACCCAATTGTGAGACCCAAAAGAAGGCACGCACTCTCCATATATTATGGTAATTCCCCTCAACATGCTTTGTGCAAGCATAAAACACCAAATTGAAATCCGTGTTGGTGGCCACAAAGTAACAAGGTAGATGTAGGACTGTAGGAGTAACCTCCAACTCATTAAGTAAATGAGAAATCCAAGCTTCAACACACAACCTAGGAATAGAACGATATTTAGCCTCATAAGAACAGCGAGAAAAGAATCGGTTGTTTTTTAGCTCTCTAAGTTATATGGCTGAGACCAAGAAACATACAAAAATAAATAGTCCAATGATGAGTATCAGAACATCCAGCTCAATTAGCATTGGAAAAATCAAAATATGATGGAGACCAACGACGAAATATAGGCATAAAAACAACCAAATTTGAAGAATGAGGAGCACTCGTAAACTGAAAAAAAAAAAAAAAAAAAAAAAAACACTTTGTTTGGATGAGAAATTTTAAGATTATTCAGGAATTTTGAAATGACGGAATTTGTTTTCTGAAATTTGTGAATTTTCTTGTTTGGTTAACCTAAACGAACAAATGAATTTGAACACGGAATTTTTTTTCTATTTAAACTCTCACTTGTAGAATTTTGGAAATAGTACCTAGTTACATGAAATTTAAACTTGAGAACTGGAGGTCCCAAATTCCATGTTTTTTTCTATGTGGAAATTCTATATTTTTATGTTTATGAATCCAAACAAGGGAATTAGTGCATGTCAATATAAAAATTCTGACTTTTGCCAAAATTTCAAGTTTATTTTCATTATCCAAATATAGTACAAAAGAAATGTCGAAGGTGTGATAGTGAAGAAAGCCAACAAGCTATCTATACTCCCCCATGACATCATAAATGTAACTCTCCCTCAAAGAGGACAATTATTTGGAGGTATGAAAACACAAGCTTTTTTTTCTTTTTGAACAAATGACATATTATTTACACTAAGGGGAAGGGGATGAGCTTAACCTCACAATGGGCTAGTAATAATATGGTTCAAATTTGCATATAGCGAGAATCGAACCTAAGACCTCTCACTTACATGTTAAGAGGAATATCACTAGACCGTAGTACTAAATAGCAAAACGCAAGTTTTTTTAATTGGCTAATTTTCTAGAGTGTATACAATACATGTCTGTAATCGTTCGCCTTCATTTCCATATAGTCCTTAGTTTAGGTCTAGATACTGATTACTTGGATGACACGAAAGTTATTTGATAAAGAATATATCTTGTGGATTTCATAAGGCAATATTCATATACACTCAATTAGGGAATGACTCTAGAGTGACTGAATCATTTTAGGCGTGCGAAATCAATTCAGGCTATTGACTTAATGTAGGAGTGTTTGACCTACTTAGTTTAGGATAATTTTTATACAAAAATCTGTTTTGATTTGGCCTAGGAATTAGGCGACGAAACTCCTACAAAAATAAGTTCTGCATCTTTCGTTAAACGCATATGTTATAACCCTAATATTCAATGTTGCATCTTTCGTTTTACATATGTTAGGTTTTGAGAGCAACTCAGTGAAAGTTTTCTAAACTTAGCATTCATTCATACATCATCTCTTCATGAAAAAGCTGTTTTCCCTCGCACTCGTGCAAATCTTTGTGTTTCGTATTCGTAGTTTTACTTTCGAATTGTTAATTGTGTTGTTTGTTCTTACTGTTTTACAGTAGGATTGAAACTACGGCCTGCACTGTGTCTCGATCCACCAAATTAGCAATTTCAAGGTACAAACTAGAAGCCACTTGTAAGTGAGAAGTTTTAGGTTCGATTATCGTTAAATGCGAATTTGAACCACTTTATTGTAAGCTTATTGTGAGGCTTAGCCTACTTCCCCACCCTCTTAGTGTGGATAATATCGTTTGTTCCAAAAAGACAAAAAAGTTACAAACTAGAAAACCAGTCTGACATAATGTGGCACTTGAGAAGATAATGGTATACTTGGTTTGTGAAAGATGAAGTCTTACATCGGTAGAGGATCAGGTGGCATGTAGCCCTAAATTAATTAATAAGATAGCGAACCAAGGTCCATGAGTTCGAACTCATTGCCACATGTAATAGTTACTAAGAAAACGAGATAGGGTCGAAACAATAGCATCAACATACAATATAAGAACCATAATACCAGAAGACGAGCAAAAGATATATTAATCCTGACTTTGAACAAACCAAAATCGGATCAAGAAGCCATTGATTTGTGACACTAAAACCAAGCTCATATACCTTGCTTAAGACCACAAATATCTTTGTGCAGTTGGCAATGTTGAGTAAGATGACATGCGAGTAGAATCAACAGGTGAAGTTATTTTCGCACATCTTTTTTAGATTCTCACATAGTCTTTTTTATTTATGACAATCAGATTAAATAAATCAAGCAGAATCAACGATCAAGATAGAACAAAATTTACGTAAAAAGTTAAAAATAGTGTGTGAAAATCTCTTATCATCAACAAATCTTGGAGCTTGAAACATGACAACAATAGTGCTCACATATCCATAAAGAAAAACATTTTTCACATCTAGTTGACTGAGCAGTCAACCAAATTGTGCAATCCACAACTTTGGGCAAGGTGAGTAGAATCAACAAATTCTGGAGGTTAAGGCATGAAAACGGTAGTGCCACTTATCCATGAAGAAAAGCATTAAGGCATGAAAACAGTAGTGCCACTTATCCATGAAGAAAAAGCATTCTTCCCACTTAGTTGACGAGAGGTCAATCAAAGGGAATGAGCCAGGTAATAACAATTCTAACAATAGTGGGCTTGACTGCAGACTAAAAGTCCTGTTAGATCCATTTCGGGATGTTGATAAAATCTCGTATGCCATCATTGAAAAAAAAAAATTACGTTATCTTGGCTTCTGAAGACTAAGACCATCTCCAATCGAAGGGTTTAGAGGGCCAAAGGGCCAAAAATAACTCGAAAACCATATCCAACCGAGGTCTAGGCTAGAGGACTTGTGGAATCTGAGAGGGCCCCATGGAATCTGAAAGGGCTAGAGGGCTGGAGGGCTGGCTGCAGCCTGAGGTTGGCCAGAAAAATCATTATTCCTGTCGGTTATGACCGATAGGAATCCTTAAGCTAAAATTCAAATGCAACGGCTAGCTGATGTCAGCTAGCCGTTGCATTTGAATTTTTTTTTTTTATAGGTTTTTTGGACCTTTTTTTTTTTTTTTTTAATTCTTAAAATTCTAATTTTTTTCCTATAAATACCTAACCATTCATTCACCTTTCCTTTAAATTTAATTTGTAGTTTTAAATTTAATTCGTCGTTTTTAAATATAAGTTGTAGTTTTTAAATTTAAGTTGTTGTTGGATTTGAATTTAAGTTGTTGTAGTTTTTAAATTTAAATAATAAATTATGTTTGGCCCTTTGGCCCTCGGTTGGAGACGGAGGCAAATATGGCCACATTAAAATATTAATATCTTGGAGGGCCAGAGGGCTAAAACGAGCCCTCTGGCCAATCCTCGGTTAGAGATGGCCTAAGGAGAAGTCCTACTCAATTCACTTAGTGGTCATTCATGAAATTTCATTTTTATAATCAAAATCATTCATATTATAAATTTGTATGTAAAAATTTAATTAAAATTAAGATCGTTTAGTCAATCAATTGTAGCAAATAAATAGATGGTTCTTGATGCTTTTACAAAATCTGTCCATCTGTTTTAAAATAGTTCGCTGACTAAACTATCTCATATTTTATTGATTTTTTGCACATGTGATCTTTACAAAGTGTTTTTTAATATGAACGATTCCGATCATATTACAAAGTGCTTTCGAATATTATAAAGTGCTTTCGAGGGAAACTCTCGTAATTAAGACCCGTTGTATCACAAAGAAGGTAATAATACGGAGATCAATTTTTTAGACCAAATTTTAGAAGCCATATAATGTGGATGTTAATGATTAAATTATTACTGAAGTTTTTTTTTTTTTTGTCAAACAATAAATTTTGTTAGATTAGATATTAGATTAGTCATCAACTGGATTTGAATTCATGCCGTCATGCAAGAACCCAACACCTTGCCCCCACTGTGGTAAAATACCATTTGCAATTATACTTAAGTATTAATTAATGTAATTTTTTAACTGTACACATCATATAATTTACAAACTTAATCTAAAAATTTGAACTACTTAAAACTAATATGAAAATAAAAGAAATTGATAACTATGTCGCACTCCTATACACTCAAGATGAAATCAACTTGGCTTTAGAGTTTGAGTGACCACTGGTCCATCCACACCCAAAACCGCATTTTTGCACTATATTATAATACTAAAGATATTAAATTTTATAAACCAAATGATATGGCAATTGATGATTAAATTATTATTTAAATGTTGATTAACGTTCTTATTATTAGTGACACATCATTTAATTTGCAAATTTAGTCTAAAGCAATGCTAAGGAAACTCTTTCGAAAATGAGATTTTTTTATAAACTTTCTTATATTTTTGACATAATTTTCGTGTCAACATTATAAAACATAAGTTCGTGAAGAGTTTCATTTTAAAAGAGTTTCTTTTACATTTCTATTTAATCTAACTAGCATTATTTAAAAAATTAATTTACCTAAGATCATATGGAAGATGAAGTCGACTTTAGAGTTTGAGTGACCACGGGTCCATCCACACCCAAAGCCAAAGTTTGTCCCATCATTCCATTTTTGCACGAGACGGTATTTCCAAAAATGTCCTTTCTGGGATATTTTCTCAACCAAGAACATTTGGTCCCTCCAAATCCCTTACCAGTAAACCGGCACGTGACTGTCAAATGAGTATCAAAATCCCCCTGGATGGAACCGGCAAAATCCGGTAGCCAATCTTATAAGGTTCTGTTTGTGAAGAAAATAGACCAGCCACCACCAGAAGGTCTCCTGTGACTGTGAGTCGGTGAAAGTTTGAGGGTTTTGGTAATTATCCAGCGGTTAGAGATATGGATGGAGCTGGTATTGGAGCTGCAGTTACAGAAAGAGAAGGTGTTACCCTGCAGGAGCTGAAGAAGAAAATGGCTGAGTTTTCAAGGGAGAGAGACTGGGATCAGTTTCATAGCCCTAGAAATCTACTTTTGGCTCTGGTAATTTGTACAACTTCGAAGCCCTAACATTAATTATTTCAGTACCCATTTGTCAAATCTTAGTAAAACTTTCTTAGAACCATTGTTTCTGCTTCTATGGCTGCTTTTCCACCTACCCATTATCTATTATTCTCCTATTTTTTATTGGTTACGGTCACTAAATTTGTAGGTATAATGTTAGGGAAATTAAATTTGTGGACAAAGATTACAAATTAAATAATATGTTACCAATAAAAATGAACACGTTTATTAATGTTATATAATTTGGAAACTAAATAATATGAAAGTTGATAATTTGATAGTCATTAAGCATTGATAAACGTTTTCATTTCAATTAGTGACACATCATTTAGTTTACTAATTTTATCTATAATTTAATTTCTCTAGCATTATTTTTTTTTATTAGGTTTTTTTTTATCTAAAATGATCTTTAACATTGCATAATGATAATGAAACTCTGATTTTGTCGCTGTAAATGATTAAAATCATTCGGTAAAAAATCTCATTAAATTATCAGGTGAACACCACATGGCCACTTTTAAAAGCATTTTTGTCAAACTAATCTCTCTAAATTTTTCATGAAATAATCAAAATGATTTACAGTAAACAAATTCAAAGACCATTTCTATCGGTTTTTATTGTTAGAGATCAAAATAAGAAGTTATATCAATCTCATAACCTCTTTGGCTAACAAATCCGTTTTTTTTTTCATTATTGTTATTGGTTTTTATTTTGGGTGGGATTTTTTGTTTGATTCTTGATAGATACAGAAATTAATCTTGTTTGGTAATATTTGACATGAGTACTCTGCGTTTGTTTGAGTTTGAATATAATACTGAATTAATCGATGAAATAGTAAAGATCTAGTTTATGTTCTCCAACTATACAGAAATGACATGGAAAGCAAATGTAGAAACTTTCAATTGTCTTCTTGAATTTATAATTCTGGGTTTTGGTTGTTGAGTTCATATTTTCGTTGTTTCGTTCCCATCAATGAACTGTAAGTGCAGAAAACGGAAGAACCAAAAGGGAAAAAGAAGAAAGAAGACGTGTGTACAACTGATTGAATAGCTTGTCCATCACTGTCTGTGTTTTAATATTGTTCTTTTTCATATGTGAATTTAACCACAAGAAGGGAAAGAAACCCCAAATAGAATGGGATGTAAAGTTTATATTAAATATAAGGATAAATGTACTGGTTATCCAATGTTGCATCTTGGTAAATGAGTGCTTATGTTCGAGAGAAACTTATCTACATCTCGGTACATCACTGTGCATTGAGACAATAGCTGAATGTCTTGTGGAAAATTTAAAACACACGGCATCACGTTATTCATTCATGATTACACTCTGATCCAGGTGTAGATAAGTCAATCTCAATCTGTAGCTTCTATACACAGTAAAGGACCCCACTTTGATGTGATTGCTCATGAGACTCTAAGCATAATAACAGCTCCGCAATTTTCCTTTCCCAATTTGGTGTATAATGTTTATTCAGGTGGGAGAAGTGGGAGAGCTATCAGAGATATTTCAGTGGAAAGGAGAGGTGCCAAGAGGACTGCCATACTGGAAAGAGGAAGAGAAGCAACACCTGGGGGAAGAGCTCTCAGATGTGTTGCTCTACCTTGTTAGGCTCTCTGACGTTTGTGGCATTGATCTTGGAAAAGCTGCGCTCCGAAAGCTGGAGCTCAATGCCAACAAATACCAAGCCAAGCTTTGCAAGGGCTCCTCCAAAAAGAACACGCAGCTCAATGCAGAACATAATGCCATTATGTGTTGTAGTGATCATGGCGTGTCCGGCACCAAAAACCGCAGTTGCGAACAGTGATATGTACAAATAAAGTCGGTTACAAATTTTTATCAAAATTAGGGCTAGGAGATGCTTAACAGACAATAAGGCCTAAATAAATTAAAATTAAAGTCACCAGTATGCCTAACGCTGTCTAGTTCTACTTTTGATTAAAAGTTTGTAATCAGTTCTGAAACCCTCTTATTCTTATTTATCTTTTAAGGATCGTCACGCCTTTATTATTGTATTTTGATTTTGTAAAAAGAATAATTTTGAAGGTCTGGTTCTAGACTTTTTAAGCTACAGTGTTCATGTTTTTTGCATAGTAAAGTCTGACGTGATGGATCATGGGGGATCTGAAATGCTTAGGCTCTGGATTACTGTCTTTCGTGTTTTAATTGTTAGATTTTAATTTTTATATTTTTAAGTAAAAATTTAACAACTAAAATATTTAGAGTATCGAGCATCCGATAAAGTTTATGGAGATATGTTAATGGGTTATGGGGGATAAAAGAAATGCTTGGGCTCTGGAGTACTGCCTTCCATGTTTTAATTGTTATAGTTTAATTTTTGTATTTTTAAACAAAATCTAATAATTAAATATTAAATAACGAGGGTTCGATAAAGTCTATGGGGATATGTTAATTGCATAGGCACTAGGGCATAGCAGGGTGTGGGGAGGCACTGTCTTGTCTTCTGTGTCTGGTATTGTATCAAAGATTTGGTTCCTGTGCCCTTGTGGTCGGGAACAAGGCACTGCTGGCTTTCAGTGGGACTGAATTTGTGTTATATTATGGTCGAGAGTTATTAAGTTTAAACTTAACGGATTTGTTTTTTGAAAACTTTAACGAAAAATTTTTGGTATTGTCATTTTAATAAAAAATTACATTTTTATACTAAAAAATCAATTCTGATACTATTCACTTTTCCTTTTATTTTATCCTTATCGTTAAAATTCAAAGTTTTCAAATATTTTTCATTAATTTTTTCTTGTTTTTTTCTTTTTGTCATTGATAGGTTTGGTTTTATATTATTCCCTGCTTTTTAACTGTTCATATTGTCCTACGTCATCTTGGACTTTCGGGTCACAATTTCTTTCATCTAGGAAATATAGCATATGCCGATGAAATGTCGTTTTGGCGTCTCAATCAATGATAAAAAAAATCAGGTACATTTCGTTTGCCTATACCTTTGTATTATTGGAATTACTGCGTAAATGATATACCAGCTTTTGTGTATTTATGATTTATTAGTGAGACTACTAACATAATTTTGTGTATTATGTCGTCGTCAAATATGTTACATGATATAAAGAAAAAAAAACTAAAATGAAAATACGAATGTCAAATGGGTAAAAATTATTATTTTGATTGATTTTTTGTTTTCATTTAATAATCATTGAAAGAGAACTTAAAAACTAACCAGCAACTTTTTGTGATTCGTTCTTTACAAACTTAACCTCCATTCCTTTGAACTGGGAAATCCTTCACTCAAACCCAACTTTCAAATTTCATGGGATTTTGACAAAGTAACAAACAAACGGATTACACAAAGTTAGGAGGAATTAGAAATATACCGCATGAGCCTTAAAAAGGAATATAAGAGGGATTTACACATGACCCTCTCACATACTTTTTGTAATGCACGTGTAGTTTCTGATTCCTCTAATGTAATTTTTTATGATCAATTTCTTCGTCTCTTGGTTTAAAACTCCTTGGAATTTGGAAGCACCTCACCTATTTAAGGAAAAAACAATTTACCAAGGAAAAATGGGTGCCCCTTTTATGTGTACAATAATGAGATCATCAAATAAGACAAAAAACCTCTCATTCTTCACAAGTCAGCCTACCTCAAGAACTTTTCTTTCGTATTCAGTTGTATATAACTATATATTTGTGTCTCACTCAAAATACAAGCCCTCCATTAGCTTCCTCTTGATGCTTGTCGGCATTTGCTAAATAAATCCTTGTGCTCTTTCCTCAAAATTTTGATAGTCGTCGCTGTACTCTTCCACCGGAGTAGTAGCAATCAAAGAGGCACCCTGAAGGAGTAGAAGAGCAGACCCAAAATTAGATTTAAACAACTGCAGGGTTCTTTCTTTGAAATCTTGGGTGATGAAGCCCTCATGGCCTGTTACGACTAAGCCTTATCCCACCAAGTGAAGTTGACTGTATGAATCCTAGAACGCCATTGTGCTCAATTTTACGCCAAGTCTTCCGTTAGCCGAACAAGAGCAGCATTAATTGAATTTAAGCAATTCAAAGAAGACAGAGTTGCACATACAGAAGTAGCATGCTGGAAGGCCTCAAGTATTAGGTTTGCATGAGTTGAATTCATCAACATTGACAAGATTTCAGGGCTTGGCAATCCCCTCGTTACACTCTGCGTACTTGTGATCCTTCAACCTAGAGATGTTTATAAACACTTGCTTCCCATCCACTTCAAGTTTTGGCACTTGAGCATTTGCCTTTGGAGGTGGGGGTGGGGGCATCTGAGAGCAGCTTGGATCCGCTCGAGGAGCTCCGCGTGTTGTCGCTGTTTTTTTCATGATTGTCTTCGGATAAAAAACCAAACCAAAATTAGAAATGAACCCTAAGAATCATTAAGGCTATGTTTAGGCGAGGTATTTCTACGTCCCAATGTATTGTTATCAAGTTAATAAGAGAAGAATGATAACAAAATGTTAGATACGAGAGATTATCAAATATCTATGCACTAATAAATGAGAGACCTTTAGACTTCCGATGTACAGATGTATCTTCCTTGTATCGCTTTGTATAGTATATAGAGAAATGCTAAGGGACTCTCTCAAAGTGGGACTCTCTATGGACTCTGTCATCTCATAGTTTAATGACAAGTTTAATGTCAATTTGGCTGAGAGTTCATGAAAGATTACCACTTTTGAGAGGGTCTCCTTAGTGATTTTCATGTATATAATACACACTATACGCCTTCGATGAATTATCGAGGTACAACCCAACAGACTTACGTCTCTTCTATCTGATTTATGCCCTACTTCTTTTATATTCTTTCATGCACCATATGAGCAGGTATCAAAGAGCGATTTGTAAATGATAGATTCCAAGTAGGGATTTGTTAACCTCTAGCATGTCTTTTTAATACTTATGAAGTGCATTTCTAAATTCTAATCCCTCCTAACTAACTTTGGTGATCGATTCCTTACTAATTTAACCTCAACTCCAAACATAGCCTAGTTATTTTATATAATATAAAGGATTGTAATAACAGAGAGAAAGCGATTAAATTATTGAGTAGTGCATTTGTTAAAAGGAGTAGTGATATTCACAAACTCATTTTTTTCCGTACACGCTACTTTTATTGTTTTTGTCCCTTGATTCTCATTTGATTTATTCATTTCCAATGCTAAACTTAAAAAGGGAGGAGTGAACGGGGAGAAAAAGAGAGTGGCAAAACAATTCCCCATTCGTCTTTGAAAAATACTAAGGGACTCTCAAAATGAGACTCTATATGAACTCTCTGCCAGCTTATGATTTTGACAAAATATTTTATAATATTAGCACAGAAATTGACGTCAAACTAAGATATGACAGAGTTCTACTTTTGAGAGAGTCTTAGCATTTCTCTTCGTCTTTCCATTCACATTCCAAAACCACAGTCGAAGACTATGAAAGTTGACATTGAATTTCTGAAATGCAATTTCAAACGTTTCATCTTCTTTCCCATAAAAAGAAAATTTGGTGGAACAATTCGGTGTTATTCAATGGGGGCAAAGCTTTACATTTAAGAGTGATTTTCAGTGTACCGACATAATACAAGTGGTTAGATACTGAATATATCGGGTTGTTTTTCTCAACATTTAAACCAAGAAAATGCAACTCAATAAAGTAAACAAAAAATGATTGAAATGATGCATTTAGGAGGGAAAAATAAAGGAACTGATGAATCCAAACAAAAAATGGACATACTTGGACGGTAGGCAGCTTCTGAGGAATCTTATTGCCGCTTGATTTGCGAGCAGTCTGCTTCGCCCGACCCATATTTCTGTATGGAGAGAGACCTGACACCGACAGAAACTTGAAACAAACAAATAAAATTAAAATAAAAAACCAGAGGAAGACAGAGTAGAGAGCGATTGTATGTGGGACTGGGACTGTACGAACAAGCAATGCTTCCTTTTCACGCTTATGGCGTGGGTGGGGACTGGTGAGAGTCCTATAGCAACCCCGAATGTCCTCATGCCAACCCTTCTTTCAAACTTCTTCGAGAAAATTTCTCTTCTTTCCTCAATTATTAACTGAAGACGTAGACCTAATGCGTCGTGTTTGTTGTCTTCATGTCGTAATTGTTATTTTAATGAGTCATGTCTAGTTAAATCTGTTATGTTAAAGGTTCTTAACAGATGATCCGATAACAACCCGATTCGTTAATAGGTTGTGTATCGTTTCGTTTCGTAATTATGAATCATGCAAAAAATTGACATGTATAATATCTAGACCTGACAAACAATATTTTATTACGTTCTTAACAAGTGATCTAATAATGACGCGATTTGTTAACACGGCATAATAAGAATCTGATCATTAACAGATTGTCTCGAAACTTACTATTTTGGTGTCATTTCATATCAATTTAAGAGGTCGCGAAAGAAATTGTTAGGCTTAAGAAGAAGAATGGACACTGGGCTTTCTGCTATGTCCACCCACCTATATTATTTCCTCCCTCAAATTTTAATATAATTTGAATCACATGTTTACTCCTTATTAAATACTACGATCTAGTAGTATTTTTTTTACTTATAAGTGAGAGGTCTTAGTTCGATTCTCGCTAAAAGGGAATTTGAGTCACTTTATTGCTAGCCTATTGTTAGACTAAGCCCACTCTCTCTCTCTTGAAAAAAACTTATGTGGGGGCTCGACTTACCACCGGACTTCGTTGAGTGACACTACCGACCACTCAAATTTTGCCACGTGGTAAGTGAGCGTTTATTTTACCACATACGGCAGAGAGTTTGGGGAAGAAAAAAGAGGAGGGGAAAAAAAAAACATTTGATCAATCTGATGGTGTATATTAATTAGTAGAAAAAATAATTACGATTAATTTAAATATAAAAAATTATATTTAAAACTTAATACATTTTGGATGGTAAATAGTGTCATTTAATAAAGTTAGTGGCAAGCCGAGCCTCACATAAGTTTTTCTCCTCTCATTTAGTGTAGCTAGTTTGTTTGTTCAAAAAATAATAAGTTTCAAAATAAATTAATTGCAAATTCGTCACTATTGATATTTGCACTCTATTTAAATTTATAAATTCATTAAA